GCTTACTCAGTTCAGCTGGGGGTTATAAGTTGACCACCAGTTGTCAATCCACTACAGGTGGTAAGCCTGGGCTGGGGATTTAGCCCTTTTCTGGAGGACAGAGTCCCTGGATACATGGAGAGATTTTTTTTTCTCCCTTTACTGGGGATTGAACCCAGGGTCTTTTTTATTTTGAAACAGGGTCTCACTAAGTTCCCTCAGCTGGACTTAGACTTGGCCGTCCTCCTGCCTCAGCCTCCCGAGTGCTGGGATTACAGAGATTACAAGCCTATGCCACTATGCCCAGCTATGAAAAGATAAAGAGGACGTGGTGAGGTTTGTGCTCCATTGAAAGCAGACACACCTGGAAGTTCTGATCAGGAGCTAGAAGAGGGGGAGAGATTGCCAGGGGTGGGCGCTGTCCTGGGGCTCGAGTGGAGCACCAGGGCCCTGTCACAGAGGCACCAGGGAGCAGGGTTGTGGCCGGTGCAGCTGGGAGAAGGTGGCAGCCCTGGGTGCGCCCCATGAAGTGGGGAGCAGAGCCAGCCGAGGGCACCCTGGCAGGCAGTTGCCTGTACATGGATGGCAGGAGGCACCGTCTGGTCAGTACAGCAAGACCTGCCCCTGGCGGGGGAAGGCTGTTTGCAGTTTTAAGACTGAAACTACCAGTGAGATCATTTTTCTTGTTGAAAGGTAGTTTAGAGGTAGTTTTTTTTTTTTTTTTCCATTGTGCTTCATTTCTTCTGTTAAGAGAGCTACTGTGCTTTAGCAATGACCAGTGGTATTTAAGTGATATTAAAGGACTTCGGCTACAGTACTGTGTGCTGGAGCTAGACATGTACATAGTAATTAGAAGTCACCTAGCTAGAGAAATAAGTGTGAGCCGTAAAGATGCAAGTGACTGCTTGGAGTTCTCCACTGACATCTTTCATCTTAATTAGGATAGTACACTGAACTTGCAGCTCTGATTATGGGATCGTTTTCTTGAGCAGAATTGATATGTTTTAACGTATTTATTCATTAGGTCTTATGTCTATGATAAATTAAACTTTATAGGTGATCAAAACATTACTGCCTGATATAATTACAGCTCTCTGAATTGGAGTTTAAGGAAGTTATTGCCATACTACATGTAACTTAAATGTCCCCTGGTGGCAAGGATTAATGGCATTATAAACTTTCGGTAACATTCAGTTTGTGTCCAGGTTCATTTCCAGCTGGGCGGCATTAAAGAGCCGG